CAACACAGAGACACGGCACAGGTCACCGCTCCGCTCCCTGCCTTGTGCCGGGCAGCACCGACGTCTCGCAGAGCTTCCCCAAGGCAAGTGCCGGCGTGTTTCCCGTTGCCGGCGATGCCGAGCGTGGCTCGGCCGAGCCCAGGCCCTCCTGGCTACGGCTTCAGGAGGTGGCCCTGAGTGTTGGCAGAGCCGGAGCAGGTCCTGTAGGCAGCACCTGGGGAAGGTCCCTGCTCTGCTACGGGAGGAGCTGGACCCCAACTCCCTGCCTGCCACCCCTGGGAGGTGCTCCCGGCCTTTTGGGGGAGAAAGGGTCGATCCCAGGCTCCCCCCTCCTCTTACCAGTAGCTTCTTCTGAACGGGGCAGCCGCTTTCTCCACTGTCCCAAGGAAAGCGTTGACATCGGCCACGAGGATTCCTTTGCTTTCAAGGACCTCCCTGCTGATGCTGGGCTTTTCTGCAAAGGAAGGAGCGGCACCATAATTCAAACAAGCAAACGAGGTTGTTCTGAATCCTAAAGAAAATAGCCCCAAATCCTACTGCAGTTACTCCGTTTTGCAAATGCGAGCAAGATTAACAGTGCAAACAGCCTCAGCCCGGCAAGGCCAGAATTAGAGTGTGACGTAAAGCCATCCGCAGGCTCGAAAAACTGCCAGAATTTAGCAGACCTCCAAAAAAAAAAAAAAAAAAATCTGTTCATTTTGCCTTTTACTGCACTGACTTGCAATGAATCAGCTCGCAGCTGACCCGCACCTCAAATACGTGATTCTAGGAGAAATGGGAGGAAAATGGGGTGTTCCGTCTCCCTCCTCCACCGCCTCCCAGGCCAGTTGAGGATGGTGCTCGTGGGGTTCAAGGGCACCAGCGCAGGGCAGCGCCCAGAGCCCGGCCTTACCCGTGAGATACACGGCGAACCTGGCGCTGACGTGCTGAACCTGCAGGCCCAGCAAGCACTTGATGTGCTCCGCTCTGGGGGAAGACCTGGAGTCGCAGGCGTGGTAGTGCAGCACCTCGATGAGATCGGCTCCTTGGCACGATTTGAGGATTAAGTGCTTCTTGCGGGCGTTGGCATCCACCCTGCTGGGAGAGGGGGCAAGATGAAGTGGTGAGGGGCTTCACCCCCCTCTCCCCTCCCGGGGAATGAGGAGGTCTGACGGGACCTGCCTTCCCCCGCCGTGTGTTTCTTCTGGCCTCATGGGCGCTCTTACGCTTGCTACCCTGCGCTAAATGGAGACGGCGGAAGCAAGCGTCACCGTACAGATCACACACGCAGCGGGAAAACAAAATGACCCCCTGGTCCAGGCAGCTCCGACAGACTCTGTGTGCTGGTTTTGGCTGGGGTAGAGTTCGTTTTCTTCCCAGTAGCTGGTAGGGGGCTGCGGTTTGGATTTGTGCCGAGAACAGTGCTGATAAGACAGGGATGTTTCAGTTACCGCTGAGCAGGGCTTACGCAGCGTCAAGGCCCACCAGCGAGGAGGCTGGGGGGGCACAAGGAGTTGGGAGGGGTCACAGCCGGGAGAGCTGACCCCACTGACCCGAGGGATATCCCGTACCATACGACGTCATGCTCTGCACATACAGCTGGGGAAGGAGGAGGAAGCGGGGGGACATTGGGAATGATGGCATTTGTCTTCCCAAGTCACCGTTACGTGTGATGGAGCCCTGCTTTCCTGGAGATGGCTGAACACCTGCCTGCCCATGGGGAGTGGGGAATTAATTCCTTGTTTTGCCTGACCTACCAAACTGTCTTTATCTCAACCCACGAGTTTTCTCACTTTTACCCTTCCAATTCTCTCCTCCATCCCACCGGGACGGAGTGAGCGACCGGCTGTGTGGGGCTGAGTTGCCGGCTGGGATTAAACCACGACACTGGGGCTCATGATCCCACTACAATGGAGTCAAGAGATGCGACCAGAGTGGCAGTGCCAGAGCACAAGGAAAACACTTGCTCCACGGCAGCATCCGCTGTTGAGGTTGAGTCCTCATCTCACAGCCTACAACGAAATACCCAACCCCGAGTTTCTGTGACATCTCGCTGCTCGAGGACTGAAAACCAGGTCTTCGGATCGATTACTTTGTGCTATCAGCGTAAAGGCTGAGTGTGGAGAGGATTTGAGATATCTCTCCATTTGTTGTCGCATTTTCTGCTCAGACAGAACAGACCTGTTTCCTCTTCCTTCGCAGGTTGTTACTAGGAAGCCGTCCTTTCTGGCCCGTGGGCTGGCACTAACAAAGGCAGCCTGCCCAATAAAAACCTCCCTCTCTTAAGTTCAAACGTGATAAAAGCAGAACATTTCAATAGAGAGTATTTACCATCTTACTTCCCTTTTTCAAATTGCATCATTTAATTCCACGTTGCAAACAACCTGAAGCAAGTAGCAAATAGCAACAGGAGTAGTTCTGCTTTTTCCCCGCAGGGTTTGATTTTACACACCACCCACAACACCCCGGTTCTTCCCCACATTACAAACTCAGAGCTCCGCATCGCTCCCCCAAATCCCACATGCAGACAGGACAGAAACAGCAAAGAGATGGGGAGGCAGAGAGAGGCCCAGGAAGGTTGCCCAAGCTTCCAGTATGTGTGTGCAGGAGCTGGGGTGAGCTGGTGGGAAGGGAGCTCCGTTTGCAGAGTCAGCTTTCAGAGTGTGCAGCTCCTCACACAAAATTTGTGCCTTTTCTCAAGCCCCTTGCAGGCTGTAACACTCTCAGAGGGCGTCTCTGCCAAAGAGAGGGGGAACTGCCTTATGGAGATACAGCGGGGTGCAAGAAGCAGCTGCCAGAGCTCTGCCTCATCCAGGATCACGTGCAAGACACAACATTTCAGGCCATCTGATCCTCTCCAGGTCCCATGTCCTGCTGCTCCATCTCATATATGTGTATATATATAAAAAAATAAAATCTATCACACTTTACTTGCTAGTGCTCAAATGCTCCAGCAATTCCAGACTTGAGGCACATGGACTCTCACTGATAAGAAAAGTTCTTATTTAAACAAAAATCTTCAAATTCATCTTGTAAGAGGCCAAAACCCAACCAGAGGCACCTAACTTGCCCTGTGTCCCTGCACTGAGGGCACCGAATGGGACACCACACTCCACCATGGTGGGTACGTCCTTGCCGCAGTGACGAGGACAGCAGGGATGAGGCAGCTGCCACCGCAAAGCCATTACCTGATGTCTTCTCTAAGCTTCTTGCTTTCCTTGTAGTGAAGGAGCCACTTCCACCTCCCGCTTCTGTTCAGCTTCTCCAGCACCTTCACCACCTCTTTCAGTTGGCCTGGGGAGACAGCAAGAGCCGGAGGGTAACTGAGGGGGGAAAGGGTGCCTGGGGGTCTCTGGCCCAACTCCTGCTCAAAGTTGGGCCACCTGAGGTTGCTCAGGGCTTTGGCTAGGTGTGGTCTGAATATCTCCAAGGATGGAGACTCACAACCTGGGTTGTGAAACTGGGATCCTGTCCTAGTGTTTGAACACGCTTGCTGTGAATTTTTCCCACCTAATATCTAAAAGCGTAAGCGTGACTTGTCCCCGTCACCCCTTGTCCCATCACTCATGTCTCCAGGAGGAGCGTGGCTCCGTTTTCTCTGCCACTTCCCATTAGGGAGCTGAAGACAGCGACAAGGTCTCCCTTTTGTTCTCTCCTCTCCAGGCTGGACATCCTTGCACAAGCCCTGCTCCGGCCCCTGACCATCTTGGCGGCCCCTGCTGTACTTGGATGTTTTTGGGAGCCCTGACCCAGACCCACTATCCAGACTGGGTCTACAAATGTCAAAGAGAGGGAAAGAATTGCCCCCACTTAAAGCAGGAGCAGAGGACACTGACGGCGTTTTTGGAAGGTGTCAGCAAAGCAACGGACAAGGCTGGGAGCCGACACGGTGTCTTTGCATTCAAGCGAGAGGCCACAGCGAGACTCACCCAGCGTTACCGTTTCCAACACCTCATCGTCTGACACCACGAAGCCACCGGTATGAAACAGCTCCTGGTACGTGTGACCTGTTATATCTTCGGGGCTGTCCACTCCGGCGAACACCACGTTCGGACACTGCTTTAGTTTCAGCAAGCACGGGACCTGCTCAAGGCAGAGATGCTTTTGCGCATGCAGCTGCATTTCAAGAGCATTTGCACTTTTCTGCAACTCACACCTGCTCCTGGGAGACCCCGTCCTCTGTCTGCATCACCCCTACACTCGTGTCTCCACAGCCCAACCCCAAAGCCATGGATGGCGATATGGGGAGCTACAGGCAGCTCAGTCTGCTGCAATATTCGCTGGAGCCCACGAGGCAAAGCCCGGCTGAACTGCTCCGTTACACAAGATAAGCCCAGCCTGACACCTTTGAGCTGGGCTACTCCAAGTGACGTTATTCAGTGATCAAAAACAGAGACAGAAGAAAAGCAGAACTGACAGGCTTCATGTTTTTGAAATATTTAACAGCTCTTCATGAAGCACTGCTCTTTCAGTGGAGAGAATGGTGTATCCGCAGAGACCGACAATTAAATCTGCAGCTATACATAGCGTAAAATTAAAAACACCTTTAAAATGGATCCTGATATTAAAAAATAGTGCTGGTAGAAAAAAAAAAGGTTGGACTCAGCCCTTACGTTGTGGATGTGCGAGGAAATGTCCTCGTTCCTGATGACGACGAGCAGCCTGTCAGCGTCCAGGTGTTTCACTTCGCAGAAGCTCAGAGGTTCCATCTCCACGTGTCCATCTTTCTTCAGCAAGGTCTGAAACAGAAATCGCGTAAGAAGGTTTGTACGGAGAATATCTTCACAACAGTGGTGCCATGCTGCTGGAACACACGCGTCTGGGGACAAGGAGAGAGGAACGAGGCAGTGACCCCAACCAGGAACGCTGGTGTCAAGGGCACCCTACAGAGTCTGTCTGCCAAAGGCACTGTGTGGCCGGGGCTTCAGCCAGCGGTGGAGGAAGCAGCTGTTTACCTTTGTTGGCAAAAAATCTTTTAGAAGACCACCTCAAGCATCTCACCGTACTGTGCATCGGGCCTCTCTGCTATTTTGGAGCAGCAAATCCTCTCATGCAATCACCCTCCCCGAGTTTCCAACCCTTTAATGAGAGCTCAAGCAAAAGCCACCTTGCGGGAGTTGAGTTTGGGCTGCTCCTGCACGAACTCTGATCTGTTTGGCCCAGGGAATGTTCAAGCAATAGCACAAGAAGAAACGGCCTCAACTTGTGCCAGGGGATAAATTTCTTCACCGAAAGGGTTGTCAAGCCCTGGACCAGGCCACCCAGGGAAGTGGTGGAGTCCCCATCCCTGGAGGCATTTAAAAGACGTGTAGGTCTGGTGCTTAGGGACATGGTTCAGTGGTGGGCTTGGCTGGGTTAGGTTCAGTGGTGGGCTTGGCTGTGTTAGGTTTATGGTTGGACTCCATGATCTTAAAGGGCTTTTCCAACCCAAATGATTCTACAGCTCTAATTTCTGGTGGTAGGAGCCAAGAGGAAATGGCCGAGGCAGCTCCTGGCTTAAGGGAACCAAATGCCATCCGTGTCAGGTTGAGCAAGCCTGCCCTGCACCTGCTCCTGCTGCCCTCAGCCCTCACCCCACGGCCACCCATCCCCATCCAAGCCGCCTGGCTGTTACCTTCACTCTTGCAAAGAAAGGGTCCTTGCCCGTCTCCACCAGGTAGAACATGCCGGCACGGCCACAGGCCTCCTCGGCCACGCTGTGCAAGCGGAAATGCAGAGCACTGCACAGGTCCGTGATCGTCTCCTCGAAGGCAGCCATCCTCCTGGTGAGGGATGCACGTGGCCACTCGCTGGCGGCCTCCCGGTGAGCCGGGACTGGCCCTCTGCCCTCGCTCCCCGCGTCAGCCCTGCTCAGCATCACCCTGTTGAACTCTGCGTACTCGTCGAGGATGTCGGCGATGTCCCCCCCCGAGTCCTTTAGCTTATTACTGTATTTGAGCTTGCCGAGGTGGAAGGGAGCCACGCGGTCCTGGCTGATGGTTCGGGATCTGGCCCTGCTCCTCTTGTCACAGAGGGTGTCCTGCCACGAGGTACATAGGTCCCCATGCCAGCTGCTTTGCTGGTGCCAGCCAAGCCCACTCGGCCACGTGTGTGAGGGCAGGATCGTCACCTGCAAAGGGCTCCTGCTCCGCAGAGAGAACGGGATGGGAGCTTCTCGCCCAGGCAATGTCTCAGACATCACCTGGGGAGAAAAGTCTTTTGGAAAGATGCTTTTGGAGGTAGAAAAGGGTGGTTTCCCACTCCTTAGGATTTGTTTTAGCTTATAATGGAAACGGAGACACTCCATGTCCAAAGTGTGCTGGGTGATTTCCTCAAAACCCCTCCAAGTCCCCATCAGTGACCTTAACAAATGAGACTGCCCCGCACAGTGGCTGCGCCTCTTCGAATGCTGCAAATTTCCCATCCTCTCCTGGCACTTTTTGGTGACCACGAAGTTCGGGTAGTCCTTGGTGATCCCCTGGCTGTCCCTAATATTGACATACGGTGGAACGTGCCCGCTGTTGGTTTCCCTGGGGCCCATCGGCCAGCCGCGCTCGGCCCGTGGGCAGCCCCGCTCCGTGCCCAGCAAGCCCCAGTCCTCGCTGGGCCCCTTCATGTGCACGGAGCTCACAGAGGAGTCATCGCAGTTAGTCCTTGTGCCTGCGGCATCCACGGATCTCGTGCTGTAGGAACCCCTGGCTCTAAGCACGGACTGTGAAATCCTCCCAAAATACTCCTGCTCCAAGTTGCCGGAGAAAGTCTCAAACAGATCTTCAAAGGTCAAGCCCATGTGTCTGTCTTTGCTGGGGAGCTGCTTTGCCCTCAGGAGCACGTCCGAAATATCCTCCGCGTCACTAAGCTCCAAGCTTTCTCCAGACAGCCTCCTGTGCATGTGTAATGGCAACATCGGGAAGGGGAGAGGGGGGATTTCTGCCTCTCCCACCTCCGTGCTGGCACGGTGCAGATCAGCAAACGCATCGGATCCCTCAGCCTCGCGCTCGTCCTGGTAGCACGGAGAGGGGGGCTCACACAGTGGCACGAGCAACTCCTCTGCTGAAAAAGATGCAGGACTGGCAAGAGGGACGCCGCTTCCTCCTTCCAAATCCTCAGGCAGGATGGGTTCCTCCTCGTGGCTCCCTACCGCATCCGCTGCTTGGCCCCAAGGGCTGGCACACCTGGGGCAGGTGCCCACGCAGCAGGACCATGGAGCCCCATCTGGAGCCAGACTCGTGCCAGGAGAGAGCGTCTTGGGGTGCACACCGAGGACTGAGTCCAGCTCAGCACTGTGCGGACCTGCCTTGTGACCATGTGGAGGAGGAGGCATCGATCCTGGGTCACCTGGCACAAGCACATCCACGGGGGAGCTCTCTGCCAGCTCTACATAGCACAGACCCGCGTCTTTTGTCACCTCTTCTGCACATCTGGGCTTTAAGGATCTGTCCGGGCTCTTGGCTGTCACACTCACCTCTGCAGCACCTACTCGCTCGCAGGACTTCCCGTGCTGGCACAGGACCGGCCCCAGCTCGCTTCGCTCTAACAAGTGGTGGTGGGGGTCTGCGTCTCCGCTGTGGGGGAGAGGGTCCTGCTGGGGGGGAGAAGCAGGAGCTGAGCCTCTGTGGGCAGGTGGGGACAGGTCATTTGGGGAGCTCTGCTGCTGCCTGGGGTGCTCCTTAATGGCAGACATCTCTTCTCTCACCAAGGAGGGGGGCTCTGATTCCAGGAGGTGATGAAGAGAGGTCTCTGGTTCCTGCGGTGCGTTAGCCACCATCACCATGTTCGTTTTGTCGCTCCTGGGGGACTTCTCCGCACCGGGGTGCACATCATCCTTCTCCCCAGCTTCAGAATTGCCTGCTGAGGCTGTACGGTCGAAGGTGAAGTCCTGGCCATCACCTGCTCCCGAGGACTCATCCAGCGTATCTGTGGGGTTGGCAGAAGGGCTGCTCTGCTGTTCGTTCACAAAAACCTTGTTCCCTTCTTGGTTTGATTCTCCAGTGCTCAGTGAAGTGAGGTCAGCACAAACGTCACCTCCACACCTTTGGGAAAGGCAGCTGCTCCCTCCCAGGTTGTTCTGAGATGGAGAACAGATGCTTGCCATGGCCTCCTGGTCCTCTGGAGCAGTGCCAGGATCTGTTGCTCCATCGAGAGATGTCAGGCAGACCGAGCTGCAGTCAGGGGACAAGGTTAGTGACAGTCCCTGGCCGCACAGTGACTCCAGGCCAGCTGTGCCGGCAGCTTGGCTCCCAGCAGGCGTCCTCCCTTCTGCAGAGGGCGCACGGTCCTTGTCTTTCTGCTCCAAGCCGTCCCAGAGCATCTCTCCAGCAGGTCCCAAGTTGCCTGTAACGCTGTCTGGCTGTGCCCCACAGACAAAGCGTAGATCAGATGGTAACGATGGCATCAACCCACGAGGAGACCCCGTATCAGCTGTACTGGTTGTGTGTGCCAAACCAACACCGTTTGTCTCTGCATCTGGGGTGGCCAGAGCCTCGCAGGGCTCTTGCGGTGTGTCCAGGCTTGGTGCCATCTCACCAGGAAGGCCCTGAGGGCCAGTCCCAGTCCCATCTGACAGCACTGGTGTTGATCTGCCTGGGCTGGGGGACCCTAAGGCAGTGGGGCTGGGTACAGGGCCCTCTCCAGGAACATCAAAGTCCTCCAAATTCACTGGCTTCTGCTTGCTGTGTTCATGCTCCGTGCCAGCATCACCGCTTTCAGAAAATGCTAAATCAACAAGCTCCAAGACTGTGCTTTCATATCGAGAGCCCTCTTTCTCTTTTTTTTTCTCCTCCACCTCTTCCTCCTCTTTTCCTGAACGTCTGAAGCAGTCTTGCGATTCCCCCCCTTCCCCACTGGCTCCACCAGGCTTCGCACTTCTGGAACTCGTTTCTAAGCTCATCGATTCACAGGCGTGTTGCAGTCCATCACTGGTGGCCCAGCTGCCGTCCTCAACCTCCGTACAGTGCCCAGCATCTCCCCCACTCTCCCTGTCCTTGGGAGGGCCAGGGCCACTCCCTGACCCTGTTGCCCACCCGCTCTCCTGCTGCTCTCCATGTCCACGCAGCATGCACAGGGCATCTCTCCAGGGAACCGTACTGGAATTTGGGGCTCGGCTGCATGGGTATTCCCTGCTCAGTGCAGCTGAGGGCTTGCTGGCATCGTTGAGCTCATCAAAAGGGCTGGGGGCAATCGTAGCATCCGGCAGACCCTCCTTGGGCGGCTCCTCCTGAAACAACACAATTTAGAGGTTTATCTTCAAGGGAGGCAAATGCAGGAACTGAGACACCTGTGCAGGAGGACACAGACACTTTAAATGCTCAGACTTTGCGAGGACAACCACTCCAACAGTATCTGAGGACATTAGTTTGAGTTTGTCACTAAATTAAGTGCAGGTTAAATCCTTACCCCACATAAGCCACTACCATTCCCACAGACAGCCAGGGAAAGGTTTTGAAACTTTCTACCTTCTTTACACCACGAAATGGCTTAAAAATAGGCCAAACTGTGCAGGGGCCATCAGCCAGTGCCCAGAAGTAATGCAGGTAGCTGCCTCCTCTTATGTCTCCTGAGTTTATTTGTCCAAGCAAGCTATTTGGACACTACAGACAGTGATCCCACATTTCCTCCCAAAACACTTCTGCCTGCTCCACAGCACTAAACCCAGGTGGTAAAACACACTGCGATATTTTTTTCCTTTGTGCAAAACAGTTGCAGCCCTATGGCAGCTGCCCGTTAGTTTAGAGTGAAAGTTTTAAAGGAATTATTTTAGTTCAAGAATTCAGGCTTGAAAAATGTCAGCAGACACCCATGTTTTATATTTACCCAAGTACCTCTGCTCCTGACTCTCTGAAGACTGTATAAACTGTAAAAATTGATTTAAAAAATCCTAAGCAGAAAGGAATATTGACTAGCTTCACCAGAGTGGCGAGGGAAACGCTGCAAAGCACTGCTTTGCCATCTCTGTGGGGGAAAAATCTCTCCAAGCCAGCAAACCTCAGCTCTCCCAAACCAGCAGAGGAAAAGCTGTGCCGTGTCCCCCAACACGTCTGGGCTGCTGCAACCACGGGCAGGCAAACGCAGCTGCCCACAGGAGACAGGCAGGCTTTTGAGTCCCAGTCTGGGGTGTTTGTGGTTCCTCTCCTCCCTCAGTTAAGCACCGGTCTGAGCCCTCGTCCGAGCTCACACAGCTTGCAGCTGAATCCAGGAACAGCTGCCGAGCTTGGCACTTTAATTGCTCTAGTTCTTTGGGATCCCTCCCCCTTGGAGAGCATCCATGTCGAGACCCTGCTCCCTTGGACAGGGATAGATACAGCTCATGCCAGAGCCCAGGGATGCCGGCTCAGTCCAAGAGGACATCCAAACCCGGACCAAGGCCTGAAAGCTTCTTTTTTATGGTAACTGAGCATGTCTGCGTGGCAGTCATTTGGGGCAGCTAAATGCTGGGGGATGTTTCTCTGTCCTGCTTTGGGGACCCCCACTACCTGTCTCTAAGAGATCCCACAAGCATGTCTGCTCCACTCTTCACAGAGGATCCTACTCCTCTGAGTGCAAAACTCATTGTGCGCCCTGTAGACTTGCATCACCCAAACCCCATCCTCTTACCGCAGCGATGGTGGAGATGTCATGCACACGTTCCTCAGGAACGACTGCCGGCTGCCCGTCTTTCACAGCCAGGGTCTTGTCAGCACGTTCAGTAAGGGAAAGGCTCTCGGGACAGCTTGTGGAGGAAGGTTCCTCCTCTCCACAGGGCAGCTCCCCTGAAGAAGATGATACCGTACTATCGACAACACCAGGAGTCCCATCAGCATCAGTCTGAGAGTCTGCAGGGCTTTCCTCTGGGCGCAAAGGTCCCTGGTAACGGGTGCTGCAATCCAGAGAGCTGCTGGGAGTCTGGTCAGGGTCTGACCGAGAGTCTGCCGGGCAAGTCTCCAATCCAAAACAGTCCTCACCGTCATCACTCAGCTCAAGAAAGTCCCCAGTGCTGTTTATTGAGACATACTTTTCAGGGTTGCTGTGCTCCACGACCTTCCTCGTGCTGCTCAGGAGTTTGCTGGGTTTGCTGTAGAAGAGAGCCACCCACATATGAAGTATCAGCTTCATCTCTTCCACGTCATCGGGCAGATCAGGGTCCCAGGGCCTGGAAGGGAAAGGAAACACAGCCTGAAACACCTTCATCCTCCCTCCGGTTGACTAGCACAAGGCAACTCATCTCCTGGTTCCCCACAGTGCTAAGCCCCAATGCCCAGCTGCAGTCACAGATCACTGGATGCAGTTTCCAGCTTGCAGAAAAAAGGAGAAACTCACAGCTGCAAAGTAGGACTTGGGTTCATGGCTTTACGTACCAATCCTAGCTGCAGAGCCATGGGAATCACAGAATCATGGAATGGTTTGGCTTGGGAGGGACCTTAAAGCCCATTCGGTTCCAACCCCCTGCCACGGGCAGGGACACCTTCCACCAGACCAGGTTGCTCCCAGCCCCATCCAACCTGGCCTTGAACACTTCCAGGGATGGGGCAGCCACAGCTGCTCTGGGCAACCTCTGCCACTGCCTCACCACCCTCAGCATAAAACATTTCTTCCTTCTGTCCAATGTAAACCTACCCTCTCTCGGTTTAAAACTGTTGCCCCTTGTCCTGTCACTTACAGGCCTTGGTAAAAAGTCTTTCGCTGTCTTTCCTATCAGCCCCCTTTACCTATCAAAAGGCCACAGTAAGGTCTCCCTGGAGCCTTCTCTTCTCCAGACTGAACAACCCCAACTCCCAGCCTGTCCTCATAGGAGAGGTGCTCCAGCCTTCTGACCATTTTTGTGGACTCCCTTCTAATAGGTTCATGTCCTCCTTGTGCTGGGGGTCCCAGAGCTGGACAAAAAAATGGTGGGGTCTCATGACAGCAGAGTAGAGGAGGAGAATCACCTCCCTTGCCCTGCTGATCACGCTTCTTTTGATGCAACGAGGATACAGTTGGCTTTCTGGGCTGCCAGCGCATACTGCTGGCTCATATGTCTAATTTGTCACCCACCAGTATCCCCAAGTCTTTCTCTGCAGGGAAGACACACCAGCTTTAACACAGCAAAACTGGCTGTCTGAGCATGGGGTAAAAAGGCAATTATCATGCAAAGCAAAGCAAAAAAGAGCAAAGAAATCCCTTTCCAAAAGTGCTCCAGACATCCAGCAAGAGACATCCCCTAGGGGTGGCCTTCCAGACTGACTTACCCGTGCAGGGCGCGGATGATCGTTTTCTCCAGGGCATCGTTGGTGTACCTGCTGTCCAAATTGAAGAGATACTCTGCCTCCCAACGGCACGTCACCTTCATGGACTCACCACAGATGTTCACTGTGTGGGACTTGGCGAAGTCCTCCTTCAGCCTGGGGGAGAGCAGGCTGCTCCTGCGCCTCATCGCCACGGCCTCGAAGGGCCGCTGCGAGTGGGTGCTGTTCTGCTGGTGGCAGAAAGGCAGGACTTTCCCAACCAGAGGTCCTGCTCGGGCGTTCCTGGTCCCATTTCTGGAGGGTGCTGGGCCAGGGTAAGGGGCACCTCTGGGATACGTGTGTTTCTTTGAGTGCTCAGGCATCTGCGAGGCGTACGAGTGCTCTGCAGAGATGAAGGAGTGCTTGTTCACCTCAGCAGCTTCTTGAGTCTCTCCTGGAGGTAACGCGTGGGGTTTTGCAGGGCTGGGGCTCGTGCTGTTCTTCTTGCTGAAAATCCCAGGGCTTTTCTCCCTGGGAATAGAGGCCAAGTCATTTAATTCTACTTTTTCAGGAGGAAGCTTCTGGTTCGGCAATGCTTTGCTAGGAGAGGTGGCTCCCTTTGTAAGCTTGTCTACCCTGTGGTATTCGTGGTCGGAAGCAACACGCAAGGATTTGTGCTGGCGATGACTCTGCTGCTCCTTTGCAGAGTCGCTGGAGGGGCTGCAGGACACAGCACTCATCCCACTGTCCCTGGGGATAAACGAAGGAATACAAGAACCCAGAGCCAGATCAGCCAGCAGATTCAGGGCATGGGACTCGTAGTCATTCCCCTTCAGATTGAAGTCAAGATCAGCAACCCCGCCTGGGTGAATCTCACTCGTTTGGCTATCCGCTCCGTGGCACTGGGAAGAAACTTCGCCCGGGAGGACAGAGAATGGCTCCTTCCACTCTGCGTGAGGGAAAACAAAGTCAAAGAATAAATGAAAGCCACTCAGCTCTGCCTCGAGAAGGGGTTCAAAGCAGGCTTTCAGTTTGGCAGGAAAAAGTGTCTCTCCAACATGGAACTTGCACACTTAAAAAACCCAAATATCTCTGTGGTCATGCAGGCCATGGCTACTACAAAACTACCCAGAGCTGGGAATCTAAGTGACTTCAGGAAGGGAGTTTATTCTCAGAAATAAAAGGCACGGGATTCAGAGTGAACAAAATTTCCCTTGGTCTCTGTGCACAGGGTAGTTTGGCCACTTAAATACAACCTGAGATATTTTAGGTGTTTTCCTTAATCTTCTTTATTTTGCTTTACATTTTCTTCTAGTGTGAGTATTTGCAATCTTCACAGACAAACCCTGTGCTATGCTTTCAATAATCCAGTTACAAAAAAACAACCAACCTCTAAAACACAGAGAAAAACCACTCTGCCTTCAGGCTTCCCACTGCACACCCTCTCAAAAGCATAACCTGCCCCTGAGCTGTACCTCAGAGCACATGCAGAAACCTGGGGGCTCCCAAAGGCAGCCAGAGCACAGCAAATAAGTGCTCATTTAGTTTTCAGTGTTAAAAATGCCCCTCACCATGGCTGAAGGCCCACGTTTGTAAAAACAGTATGAAGTCATTAAAGAAGGTTAATGCCTTCTCCTAAAAACCAGCACAAAAATCTCTCTTCTTATTAAATCACATCTGTGCTAAAGTCCTACGTGTTACATTTAATTTCCTTGAGAACTGCATAAGACGACATATAAATTGAGTATTTCTTACTGCTAAACACTCTTATTTGGCATTTTGGGCAGATCCAGCCATTCAGCAGGACCCATCTGACACCATGCCTGTGCGAGAGCACCGCTCAGACCCCCTCCGGGAACCCCCATGTGAGGAGGGCAACAAGGGGCGGTGTTTGATACACACATGCTGATGAAAAGTGCCACGTTTCAGGAACACATGGCAATAAAAGACCAAGAAGAACAGATAAACTGAGCCGAGGTGGCTAAACCAGTCTTCAAAGCCTCTACCTCCCCCAGGAAGGGGAAAAAGAAAGACCAGACATAGATCAGAAAAAGGACATCAAAGCACGTGCATAAGAAAACACGACAAATCAACAGAAAATGGCTCTCCTGTTCCATCATTTATTTTGGCACTGTAATACTGGTTTGCAGTTTAACAGCAGACTCCTGGCCAGCACCTACAGATGCTACACTCAGGGCTGTCCATGCTGCCTCTTAAATCCACTGCAGTCTGTCTGCAAAGGCTGCGACAATTCAACTCTTTTAAATGACTGGATTTACAACGTAACGGACTAAAAAAAATGTAGGCAGACGCCAGCTACGAGCAGAGGTTACAATACTCTGTCCGTGAGCTGCCTCAACGCAGTTTCAGAGCTCAGCAGTTAAAAATCAGGCTTTTTAAACCACCCGAGCAGTTTGCCAAGGATGCAAACTGAAGGCTTAGGAAAGGACTCAGAAGAGTCCCCGTGTGGTTTGTACATCCTGTAACAGTGATTTTCACGGCTGCCCTTCGTGTTTTACACTACTATGCATAACTGGGGGCCTGCAGGCTGTGGGGTAGCAGCACTCAGACCCCAGTCCAGACCCTCAGCACTAAATATTGTTAAGACCCTTTGGCTGCTGCCAAACATGCTGTTACTATCACCTGGTCGTGACCTGACCGTGATGTTCGATGGCTCAGCTTTTAAAGGAAAGGTTTCTACAGGTAACAGCACTCTTACCGCTTTCTGCTTGCTTTTTGGCTTGAGGTTTCGGTGGGTTGTTAGCCACACTTTTTAACATCTTGCTTTTCATTGGCTTTGCAACGGTCTCAGCAACAGGAACCTTTTTCACGTCTGGGTTCTTCAGTGTCTTTGGTCTCTTTGTTTCCAAGCCAGGATCGTCAGGAGCTGAGGTTTCCTTCTGAACGGGTTCAGACTGTGTTTTGTGCACAAATTCTGCAGACAGGACCTCCGCACCTGGGACAGGGAAAAGGGAGGGCATTTCTTTTGGTTTGAGACATAGTCAGATTAAAAAAAGGAGTAATTGCAAAATATTCAGTTAAGGAATGTGGAAGGACTGCTTTAGAAGTGATTGGCAGCAGCAGCATAGTCTTCAATGACTTGATTTATACATCTCATCTTACAACTGGGTTTGTTACCGATGCGAGTGATCTGTAAGGAGTTAGTAAAAATGAAGCATAAATTCTGAAGTTCATTAAAAGCCTGCCTTCCTGCTCTAGAATAGGTGTTCCCTGGGGTAAGTCACTCTAATTCCTGCCTGGCACACTTGCACCCTGAGGGTACTTATTTACCTCTCCAAGAAGCACACAAGAACCCGTCAGTCAGGCAGAGGCTCAGCTGGCTCAAAAGGACAGGCTTAGTCTGTCCTCCACAGTGAGATAGGAGCCTTCAGAGGACAATTTATGCCACTGAAACATCAGCTCAGGCCAGACAACAGCTTTCAGCAGAGTAAGTTGAGTGGGATCAATCTCACACTTCTAGTTTCCTCAAGGAAACAACAAGAGTTGACTCTCAGGGAGTCACAACATGACCATGCAGGGTGGCTGGTTATCTACGCAGCCTGTAACGACCATGACTTTGGCAACTGCTCTTTGCCTGAGCCATCGACAGCCTGCGGACAAGGGATGCAAGAACCATGCCCTGGCTGATGCCCCTGTGCACAGTCACCTGTACGCAAAGGAAGGCAACAGCACAGACCACTGCACCAAGTTTCAGGCACCTACACTGAAATCCCCCGTCATAGCCCCAGGCTTCTTCCCAGGCTGAAAAAGAGATTGTGGAGACATCACCACAGACCTATTTGGGTGCTCTCAGGAGGTGTCTGCTTGCTCTGGGCATCTGGGGGGATGGCAAGGGGACGTGGTTCCTAGTGAACCCCGAGTATCCCAGCTGGGTACCCTGGAGAAGCAGGAGGAAGTCAGTCCCATTTATATAGCACTTACCTCTTTTCCTTCTGTGTGGAAACTGCAAATTGGCTAATTTAAGCATGGGCTCGTTGGAACTGGCCACAAACCCTGGCTTTTTAGGAAAAGAGAAAGCGATGTTGATTTTCTTCTGCTTGCTTGCTTTCCTGTTCCTGATGCTGTCCCCCATAGGATGCATTTGCATCTTGAGGGGTGACCACTTCTTCCTGGTGCCGGTCACAATAGCTCGGCTGGATTTCCTCCTGCTCTGCTGCACCCATAGCTTGCCGGCCGAGCTGACATCTTTTGTGGGTCCTTCACCACTCTGGTCCAGCACCACTGCGGGCTTTGGGTTTTCACTTTTGACTTTTATTTCCACTGCTGTGTTGGGAGGAATAGGGTCCGGTGGCACAGCTGAAGAGAAATTCACTTTACAATCAGCCTCTAAATCGCAGCAAAGAGACTGAACAGCACCTGTCAAACATCCTAAGGCAGCCGATATTTCCAGAGTATAGCTGTTGGGATCGGAGAGATAACGCCGCAGCTGGGAGAAGGACTGCTCTGAGCATTTTTTGAAGGGATCAGTACATTCATCCTCGGCTGGTGAGAGAAGAGAAGAAAGGGGAACTTCGCTGTTTTGGCCAGAGGTGGGCTGTGCATTTTGATCGAGCTTTGCATATTCTTGAAAGTGCTGTTTGATACATACGCTGGTACTGACTGTGTCCCCCCGTGAAGAACTGGTGGCTTGCTGTAAGGCACAGCGAAGTCCAGGTAAAACCGAGGCTATTTTTAATGAGATGTCACTATCGTCACGATCTTCCCTTTCATCTTTTGGATCGTGCTTTTCAACTGCAAAAGGAAAATAACAGCATTTCACTCATATTAAAAAAGGATTAAATTCCCCAAATCACCTCACCATCACATGCGAAGAGAACATGAAAGCTAAGAAAAAAACCCAGAAGCCAACCTACAAAAAGCTAGCCCCAGGGGCGATGTCCTGGTTTGATGGATGCTTGTAACTGCTGAATGTAAAAAAAAGATTTGTATGTGGGAGTCAAAAGTGGATTAAACTAAGATGAAAGACTGTTGTTGTATCAGCTAGCCCCATTCTGCAGGAAATTACAGGGTGAGATCGCACACATAGTGGTCCAAGTCCCTTCACTTCAGCAATTCTCACTAAATCCAACACTTAGGACAGTCAGTGCTCGGAAAATACATGGGTTTTGTTGGGTTTTTTTAAACCTGTTTAAATTTAGGGTTGTCCATGGAGCGTGTTTAGAGTAACACCATTTTCAGATCACTTGTGTTGTTTATGTCCCTGTGGAGATGCAACTTCCAGCAGCTTCATCTCTACCTGCTGTCAGCATGGGTGGACACACTTCACATGAAGACACCACATTAATGCTCGGGAGTGGGATGGGGAACACAGACTTCCCCAACCAGACCTGGGGACTGTATAAATAAAGAACATGAATCCCTGGGTGATTTTCTAAAGCTGGAGGACCGATCCTACTGAAAACAGTGGCTGGTTCTCCTTTCAGCCGGACTAA